TAATAATTTTTATTGACATAGAAAAGAAGTACAATGCTTACATACATACATATTATCACAACAGCATCAGTGAAAACTTAAGCAGTCGAGCTCTGGCACCCATTGTAAGATTTAACTTGAGTCATGGGTACCAGTTCTTCTCACAGTTGTAGCCTTATGATAAGACGCGTATGCGCGTGCGTGTGTCTCTTTCTGTGTGTTGTTGTGTGTGAGTGTGTGTGTGCGAGTGTGTGTGTGTGTGTGCGAGTGTGTGTGTGTGTGTGTGTTACCTCAGAAGTCTAAGATTTATGATTAGGAACATTCGTTTTTGATTTGTGAGGGATTTTTCTTTTTCTTGTTTGGGTCCTTTCACTAATTTTAAGAAAAATACCACTCTTAATGGTGATTATCACAATTCCTCATAATGTAGGTGATTAAATTAAAACTTTATTTTAAGGTAATTATTTGTTAATTATGTTGATGGATTAAGTATACAGTGTCACCATGCCGACTAAGGGATTACGCAGGACAACAGGACTGCTAAGAGTAGGAAACCTTCAAACAGCGTGGTATAGTAGGCCAAAACTTCCTTTCTGAGGAGAGGTCATGTCCAGCAGTGGACTGCTAGAGGCCCACGATGATGATCATGACTTTAATTTTATATCTGGTTGGTTTTTTCATACTGTCTCTAAGCACATTCGCGCTAAAAAAAGTGTCATTAATTATTGTACACCTACATGGAGGAACATTAATGAATTAAACGTAAAAACAGAGTACACTGGTCAACGACTCGAACATGTGATGAAAGTAGAGTATTGAATACTTTAAAAGCTGTTTTAGCTCAATTAACACTTTGAAAAGCAATAGCTTACATGATAATGGTATGATATGATAATGAAACATGTTAAATAATTGTATTATATTTAAAAAAATAGCATCATCATTTTGTACGGGGTTGCTCGTATATGGCTCGATACATCCGGCTCGAAGGAGCAATTACGTAGGGTAGTTTTCCTTACAAAATTGATAGGTTAATAGTTTGATAAATGATTAGACAACTTTACCGAATTATGTTTTTATTGCTTATAAATTTTGTACAAAATATATAAATATAATATATATTTATACTATATATAAAATTTATACTACAAATAAATACACAGACACACGCGACAGAGTCATCGTGCCCTGCAAAATAGGCCACCAAGCAATATATACAGAAGCATCCAACAAAAAGAGCATCTAACAGACTTAATTAACTTTGAGTCACATGTAGCAGAAACTTAGGCCGTTATATCGTGGGTTGTGTCCATTTATCACGCTGTGAGTACGCTTTGACGGGCCAACCCACGCGGCAGGCGATTACTGTTTATTTGGATTAAGTGATTTCTGTTAAAATTGGCGGCAATTAAGACTTCATTGGTATTTTATTTTGATTGGAAATGGACCAATAATGTGCAGTTAATATAAGTTTGAGTCGTGAGTGCGGAAACAAAGTGTATGGGGTAAGATGTGTTACGAAATTACCAATAACAACTACTTAGCAAGACTACTAAGGTAGGTATGATAATTTAAGAATAATATTCTGGGATTTAGTTTCGGTGTAAATAGCTATGGGTATGTGGCATAGTACCCACTAAGGCGACTAAGGAAAAATAAAATAAAAAAAACTACAACAAAAGTGGAACAACAGCACTGCAGAGAAAAGGCAAACTTGACACAAACCCTATACCAACCCGTCTGGCCAGCGTGGTATAGTAGGCCAAAACCTCCTTTCTAAGGAGAGGCCTACGCCCAGCAGTGAACTGTTAAAGGCTGTTGATGATGATGATCCATAAAAATGTTTGACAGCCTCAGTGGTTCAATATAGCGTACCTATACGACTGCTGTGCTGAGGTCTCGTGTTCGATTCCAGGGTCGAACCAAATATTTGTATGATCTGCAAATATTTGTTTCGCATTTTGGGTGTTTTCTATGTATAATATGTGTTTATTTACAAAAAAGTAAACAAGTATCTTGTTTTCATAGTACAAGCTCTGATCAGTTTGAAACTGGAGTACATTGTGGGTCAGATGTCCGAAAAAATATTATTTTAATGTTTATGTTTGGTAGAATTAAGACAAAGGAAATGAAGTCCTATAATATTGATATCAAAAACAAACCGGCAAAGAAGCGAAACGGATTAGTCATTAACATGTTTCGAAGACGGTATAATTCATTAGTATTCTGTGATTTAAGCTGGATTACATCATCAACCTTCTGACCCTTCGAGGAAGGAACTTGAAGGTTGTCTGGAAGAGATCGCCGAATGCGATAAGAATAAGTCGCTGTGTTAATTAATGTGTAGAACAATATTCTTATTGTTCTTTGTTTTGGAATAAGAAAGGAGTATCTGTAGTATTTTGGCTTTATAATTCTAATGGATCGTGATCCTGACTGCAGAAGGGTTTGATTCTCACCTGGGCAAATAAAGCATGAAGAGCACGGTTATTGGTTCTGTCTGGGTGTAATTCATCTAAAATTTAAATTTATCCAGTAATCCGTAAGAATATTAATCATCAACAGACTTTAGTGGTTCCCTGGCTGGACATTGGCCTCTCCTTAGAAAGGAGATTTTGGCCTACTATACCACGCTGGCCAGACGGGTTTGTATATGGTTTCATTCAAATTTTCCTTCTCTTTGTCGTGCCGTCTTGCGTAGTTTACTCTCTTAGTCGGTTCTTAAGACACCCACTGAATGAACAGGAGCGGTGACATCACCACCCGGATATTTTATCAGTAATTTGTTGCCCATAGTGCTGATATTTAGGATTATACGGCTGTGTGAGGAGTTATTATTATTGTTTCTACCTAGTCTTCGACAGGTGGAGCAGAAATAATAACACTATTTTATTGAATGAATTATCCAGTGCACCAGACAATTTTAGAAGTTGAAATATACAAGAGAATTTAGAGGAACCTTGAGGAAAACGAATTCTTGAGGGAAAACGAATTCTTGAGTGGAGACCGCGCCTCGGCAAACGTAGTGTAGGACGCCCACAGGCCAGGTGGAGTGAGAATTTGCTCAAGATGACTGGCAGGAGCTGGATGCGAGAAGCCCAAAATAGATCTAAGTGGCGTGCAATGGGAGAGGCCTATGTCCAGCAGTGGACTGCGATAGGCTGATGATGATAAAGGAACCTTTGGAGTAATACTTTAATATATTTTAATTATATTTAACCCTTAATCGTTTTCTAAATTAAGATACAAAACATTTTCAACCTTGGGGACTAGCTTGAATACAAAAATATTGAAATAAAAATAGTTATTTAAATCGGTTCATAAATGGCGAATACATCACAATACATTACAAGAAAAAAACAGTCTAATTTAGTACTTCCTCCAGGTCTATAGTTGTTTTGTTGTTGTTTGTTTTTCTCCAGACTTTAAAAGGGCCAATGTAACAACTATTGATGTAATTGCTTACTGTGATAGGTACTATGTTGGTGTATTTAAATTTATCATACCAAAATATATATTCAGTCGAATTTAGAACTCATTTTTGAAATCTGTTAAAAACTGTCACCGTTCGGAAGCCAAACACCTAATCCTATCACCTGTACTTAGTCATTCCTCTAAATAAGGATAGCAGTGTAGGTGTGGAGACACGATAACGTTTTTGTACCACACTGTTTCACTCTAAATTGAAGTTTTAGAAAGAGATGGTGAGCAATTTGCACCCGTTACTTGAAATAATAAAAAATCTTATAAGTATAGATTATTGTTTTAGCTGTGCTTAATCGAAATGGGTTCGATTCTTTCGATGGCTATGAGTGAGATTATAATTTAGAATTAAGATTAATTACAATTACCTTAATGGTGTGCTAGCTTGTCCAATCAGAGCAAGCCACATCAGAGAACACGCTCGAAACTCGGATCCCCAAAAATAAATAGTCACCGCGGCCGAAATCAGCATGGGATAGTTTATTTATAATTTAGAATATATGATACAATACAATCATCAACAAAATACAATCAATAAGCAGTTTGTGTTGATGATTGCATGCATAGGTCTATACACGCCCTAGATGGCCCGAGGTACTTCAGGGTATCAGGGATTTCCTTATTAGGGTACACCTGGTTTCTCGGCAACTGGTACCGAGTCCGACATAACCACCGGTGGGTGGTATCCGAGGGAATTTCAGCACAGAAAAAAAAACACCTCAGAGGCGTATTATTAAATGTCCACCTCTTGCTAACTATAATTTTAGTCTCACTTTCGTAATTAGCAACCCTATTGCCATCAACATCCGGGCGACGACAATACTCTTTAGAGATTGGTGGGAAAATTGGTAGTCAATAAGAAAGGTAAAGTAGATAACAATGAAAAAAATCATCAACAGCCTTTAACAGTCTACTTCTGGACATAGGCCTCTCCTTAGAAAGGAGGTTTTGGCCTACTATACCACGCTGGCCAGACGGGTTGGTATAGGGTTTGTGTCAAGTTTTCCTTCTCTCTGCAGTGCTGGTGTCCTGCGTATTTCGCTCCCTTAGTCGCCTCTTACGACACCCACGGGATGAATAGGGGTGGTGACACTCTGTATTCTTAATCCGTCACCACACGGAATGAAAAAAATGGTAGGACATAAATATTGTACACTATATCTATACTATATATGTAAGTTCATGTCAGTTTTATATATTTATTGATGAAAGTTATAACCACTTACTACAACTGTAACCTCGGTGGATCTTACGTGATTTTAACACCACCCAAAGGTTGGCTAGTAGAGAATGCTCAGGGCATTAAGACCGCCCAATAAATAAATAAAAATATTGTTTATACGGATGGATACTGGATCATGACCATATATTCCCCAAATTAAGGTCAAGGTCGCATACCTATAACTCTAATTAACTTTAAAAGTTGGTGACAAAACTCTGTGTGAAAACGCTAAACGTTACGGATCGCGCGATTTTAGAAGTTGGATAAATCAATATAAGGTGAACACAAGCAATCTACGAACAAGATGTATACTCACCCCGATGTGTCTCCACTGCACAATTGGTGCAAAAGTCTTGTCACCTCACACTGGTCGGGTGATCTGCTCGACTGCAACAATACAGTAATAAATTAAAGAAGGCTGGAAAACTTCCATCTTTCCGGGTCATGATACAGTTGAAAATACTAATAAATCAATAAATTATTTTCGTGTATAAGGGGCAAAGAAGCACGCGTCACCAGGTGCGAAATTGATTAGAGAATTTTTGTTGTTGTGATTTTTTGTAGCACTGGAAGACTCCAGTTGCGTCCAAACAATTTCTCAAAAAAAAAACTCAAAAAGAAAAACAAATGATTCAAGATAATATAGGATGGACCTGTGCGGACATTGATTACATTACAGTTTCTTACCTGCTGATTTAATTGTTTGCTAGGTAAAGCAGCAGTTTTATAATTTAAAATAATAAAACTATATTACTTGAAACTAAACTCCCTAAACTGCTGGCCCGATTATGACGAAATTTTTCGTGTGTATTAAAGTGGGTTACTCCATCTATACTAATAATATTATAAAGCTGAAGAGTTTGTTTGTTTGTTTGTTTGTTTGAACGCGATAATCTCAGGAACTACTGGTCCGATTTGAAAAATTCTTTCAGTGTTAGATAGCCCATTTATCGAGGAAGGCCATAGGCTATATATCATCACGCTAAGACCAATAGGAGCGGAGCACCAATGAAGAATGTTTCAAAAACGGAGAAAATTTATTACTATTGAGAGACGCATACGAAGTTGCGCGGGTCAGCTAGTCTACTATAAATGTTAAGTTGGTTTGTGTACACTTTAAAAAACTTAAAAAGTTATGCATCAAAAAAGGTTTTTATTTATTTTTAGCATCACTTTTGTGCCTTACTTCTCACGAATGCAACCATAAGCGTAGTAGGGTATATCTAGTAGTTTATAGATTCATAAGTGGACCTGGGAGATGGGCAGCAACCGGGCCATAGGATCATCATTATAGGACAGGCCTGTAGGTCTAGTGGTTAGTGACCCTCACTACTAAGCCGGAAGTCGTGGGTTCGATTCCCACCCAAGACAAATATTGTGTGATAAGCACGGTCATTTGTTCTGTGTCTGGGTGTCATTTATCTATGATATGTATGTATTTAAAAATATGTTTATCAGCAGTCTGGTTACCATAATACAGGCTCTGCCTAGCTTGGGATCAAACGGCCGTGTGTAAGATCTGTGAGGTACATTATTATTATTTTTCATAACTTTAAGAAATGGTGTTTAGATGGATTTCTGGATGATATTGATTCAAGATTTTAATGTTTTACCAAAATAAACTTTTTTTTTTCTTTTCCTTCACATAATTAGTTCCGGTCTGAAAAATCACAGCTAGGGTCTAATTGACTAATGAAGAATAATTTATTTGTTTAAACAATTCACGTTCGGGCTGTTCAATGTCTGTCGTTTTCGTCTATACCGGCTTGTTGGTCTAGTGGTTAGTAACCATGACTGCAAAGTAAGGTCGAGGGTTCGATTCCCACCCAGGACAAACAATTGTATGATGGGCATGATGATTTGTTCAGTGTCTGTGTGTAATGTAATTTTCATAGGCCATGATTATTTATAAGCCCAACGACAAGTTGTACAGGGGATTATATTTTTCATAAAAGGAAATATGATATTCATTGGAACTTGGTTATTGGAATAAACCATTTGAATTGTAGTTAATTTTATCCTGTCGATAACTCTTCCTCCTCTACCTATATGCATTCATATTGTGATTTAGGTGAGGCAAGATTGGTTTTATAAATCTCTCTATTTGTAATTTTCTTTTTGACCAACTGTCAAAAAGAAAATTTAAAATTTAACTGTGACACAGATGGTAAAAATTAAAATGTCACTGATACTCGCTCTTAGAAAATCATATAATTATAGATGATATATTTATTATCATTCTATAGTATTTCTATTTAAATATATATGATGTTAGTGGTTTAAGCGGTAGCGACGCCGCTTCCTACTGCGCCAAGTGTCGTGGGTTCAATCCCCACATGGAACGACTTTTTGTGTGATCCACAAATTGTCGTTCTCAGTCTGGGTGCTCATTGTATCCGTTACATGTATGTTTTTTGTAAAGTCCCCAGCGACACAGAATATATGCCTAATGCGGGAGTTTAAAAAGAAGAAGAAGATATTTGTTTAAAGTTTGTGTAAAGTAATAAATAAAAAACACACAATAAAAAAAGAGTTAGATACTTTGTACGTAATACGTGAACAAATGTTTCTGTTGCATTTGCAAAAACCGATATAATAATAATAATATATATCTCACACATCTCGCACACGGCCGTCTGATCCCAAACTAGGCAGAGCCTGTACTATGGTAACCAGACCGCTGATAAACATACATATATATTTTTTAAATACATACATATTTTAGATAAATTGCACCCAGACACAGAACAAATGACCGTGCTCATCACACAGTATTTGTCCTGGGTGGGAATCGAACCCACGACCTCCGGCTTAGCAGTCAGGGTCACTAACCACTAGACCAACAGGCCCGTCACCGATATTACTTGACTATTTTTCAATCAGGCGTAAATTAAATACCTAAATAGTACTAAATATATTTGCAATTAATAACAAACAAATTCAAGATTTAAACTGAGACTTAAAAACAAATAGAACCCTTAAGTCCTTTTAAGTACTGTATTTTATTAATATCGTATGATCTTAAAATAACCATTAACATGTGCCTTAAATCGATTTAATTTTATTCTAAAATAACATCGATTTTTATTTATAATCGAATCGACATTTCTCGTAATAATAAATAAATGGTCTGAGTATACTATGCCAGTTTACACGTATATACTATTGAAGTTAAACGTCCTTCCAAATGACCTTATAAACCAGTCCAGACTAAAATAAATCCAGAAAAAAAACAACATATATCCTCAAAGGAATCTCGAACACTAAATTCCAAGAGCAATCCGCTCCAATTACTGTAGTCCTATCACATCCATTCCTATATACTTGGTATTTAGGAGGAATTGCAGCAATTACGTCACTTTGCGATAACAAAACCGGCGTAGCAGGCGTTTTTGCGATCACGACCAGTCCGCGACCTAACTCCATTGTGGAACGTTGTGTGTTACAGCTATTAAATTATTATAACAACATGGTAAGTGTTTATAAACTTTGGTTTCACACTATTTATGTTAGGAAATTGGTTTATTTTAATTATGTTTATTCAAGAGTGTTATCATAGTGTTATTTTACAATTTAGGATAGATTAAAATAGTATAAAATCTGTTTGAGGCGTCGATGTTTGATAATCTTTTTTGTCCTTTTTTTAAATACTTTGATCGCAAGTTTTTTTTTTACGAGAGAAGTATATTTCATTATTATAAGTGTTTTTCAAGTATTTTTGCTGCGAATTTTATTTTTAAAAATGTATCAACTATATACGAGGATTAAACGTCTATAAAAATGTATTGGGGTTCTGGATCACAATTGTAATGATTCCTAATGAACGAATGTATTCAGTTCTTAATATACGATGATATTTACATATATATACATATTTATATGTATATTAAATTAACTATTTATAAGCATTTAACTATTGTATGCAAGTATTTTAGTAATCACGATCGTATCCACTAGTTTTGACTCTCTCGTGCAGTAAAATATCAGAAAGCGTATATAAATTATGTTAGAAGACAAAATTAAGCTTATTCTGTATTAAAATTTTTGGCTTCAACCAGTTTTTTAAAATACAGATAACTTTATTACAATCCACATAATAAATAGAGCAAACTAACACCAAGGTAATAATAATATAGTTTTAATTAATAAATGTGAATTTGGCGGTAATCGAACACTCAAATTTAGGTCGTTCCTTTTTCATAATAAATTATGGCAAGAATACGTGAAAACGTTGACCCGTGAAGAGAGCGTTGTTTATTATCTGTAGGCCATTTAATAATTAAATACTAAAGAGATTGTTCATAGAGAAATAAAAAAAGTAAAAAAAAAGGTTTAGAGAATAAATGCACTGCGTTAGAAGTATTTCTAGTCTATAGTGAATGTCAGCTTATGTCTCCGTGCTCAAGTAACGAGTATATCTGAAACTAATTTCAGAAGAACGAACCATTTGATGCTGCGAGAATGTGCATGTAAATAAGAAACATCTGTGTGAAGTTGTTAATAAATTCTATTTAACATGTCTCTTCTAATAGCCCGCTACTAACAACAAATTTTATTTTTAGGTTCAGAAATAAATAAATAATTGTTTTGTGTTTGGGATTCTTATTTATAGAAGACACCAATTAAATGGACTGAAGTTTATCTCTCTCGCTCGTATTGCGATAAATTTTTGCTTTAATTCTTGTTGTAATTATTTGTTTTAATATTATTTTTACCTTGATGAGGTACCTATAATATTGTTTATTACTCTATTTAATCTATTCTTGATCTATATTTAATCTAATCTATGATATTTTGTAGGATCTCTGTTTTATTTTAGCGCAGAATAGGTATTTATTATAATATGAATAATCGTTATATATACATTTAGACAGTTTCGTTAGCTTTTGTTAATCACTGAGTGTTATATTTATTGATTCTTCCTACTTCATTCTCGTAAGTATTAATCATAGATTTTTTTGTTAATATTGACGTAGGTATACTCGTACATCTTTTTTATCACTTGTTTGCAACTTGTAGCAATAATTTCGTGTAAACGGGTGAAAAAGTGTGACAAGAAACCGGAGAAATCGCTAATTATTTCACCAATAATCGCGTGAAGTGCCAGAGTTACCCATCAGATGAGGGAGGGGGAGATCTTACATATCATATGCGACTACTTTAAGACTCGCTTATATTTTTTTTGTCTGGTATATAATAATCAGCGCAGGTGTAGCCTATAAAACTCTATAATACTAAACATACACTAGGCGGTAATCGAACCCGCGTCCATGACATTGCTGTCGAATGCATTACTGCTTCGCTACGGTACTTAGTCACTGTACAATACTATTATCCAAGGACACTGTAGTTGATTTTTTTAAGTATGATTAATTAATCATTATGTTTACGATTATAATTCGACTGCACGGATGGCGTAGTGGTTTAAGCGGTCGCCACGCCGCTTCCTATTACGCCGAGTGTTGTGGGCTCAAACCCCACATGGGACAACACTTTGTGTGATCCACAAATTGTTGTTCTAAGTCTGGGTGTACTTTGTGTCCGTTTCATGTATGTTTGTAAAGTCCCCCGCGACACAGGATTTATTCCTAGTGCGGGAGTTGTCTTTAAAAAAAAAGAAAAAAAAAAAAGATAATTATTATGAAAAGGGTTAATCATACTGAACAGATTCAACTTCTCTATTACGTATGTTTGGATATTGTCGCCAAAACATACACAAGGCACTAAATGACATCTTTTTACTAATCATCTTTTATTAAACTACTGTGTGTAACTTTAAATCTGCAAGTTGATTGAATTTCACTATCACAGTGTATTTTAAAAAATAAACTTACCCCCCCCCCCCACCCACCAGCTTGTACCGAAGCGTGGCTCTCCCACGGCAAATCTATAGTGTCTGTTTGTAATGTCACAATAACAGGTTATTTCAAGATCACACGGTTATTTGCACGGTACCTATGTACCAGGTAGTTGTGTACATCAGGAGTAACTTAGGCTATTCTTCCTCTCAGAAAAACCCTATAAAATTTTGCCCGGGCCGGGAATCGAGCCCGAGGCCTCATGGACTACAGTCGCGTACCGTACTACACCACTAAGGTCGCGGGTACCAGCTAGCATTAACTAAATGTGAATGTTCACACCATCAGAAGCTCAAATAAAACCGCCCTGTCTTGTAATACTTTAAGTTAAATGTAGGTACTGAATTCGCATAGCTGTTTACATGACGACGCCAATAAATATGGCAGACTGATATTAATCGCTACAATTTACGTTTTAAGCGCCAAGTGACATAATACCTTTTTGGGTTTCTTTGGTAAATGTTATCTAAAATTTATAAATTATACTCTCTGATTGGACAATCTATACAAATAAATCCGTGTAGTGACGGATTAAGAATACGGAATGTCACTACCCCAATTCATCCCGTGGGTGTCGTAAGAGCCGACTAAGGGCGCAAAACAACGCAGGACACCAGCACTGCAAAAAAGACGGAAAACTTGACACAAACCCTATACCAACCCGCCTGGCCAGCGTGGTATAGTAGGCCAAAACCTTCTTTATAAAGAGAGGCCTATGACCAGCAGTGGACTATTAAAGGCTGTTGATGTAATGATGTGATGTGATACAAATAAATAAAATTGAAGTCTCTGTTTGTAATGTCAAAATTATAGTTTTTTTTCATGCTCACACGATTATTTGCACGATGTCTATGCTTAAAACAGTTTATTTTTTATTGTCTGTCTGTCTGTTTGTGCCTTGTAAACTTCTAAACGGCTGGACCGATTTCTGTAATATTTTACTAACAGGTAGCTGTCTACATAAGGAATGAATTAGGCTATTTTTCCTCTCAGAAAAAACCCTTTAAAATTTTGCCCGGTCCGGGTATCGAACCCACTAAGGCATCGCTTTTTAAATTCCACGAAGTGATCAAAGAAAGTATTTTTTGATATTAGTTTTAGACTATAGGTTTTAACCTCTGATAATGCTAGATGCTTAATGATAAGTCCGTGTGGTGACGGATTAAGAATACAGAGTGTCACCACCCCTATTCATCCCGTGGGTGTCGTAAGAACCGACTAAGGGAAAAAACTACGCATAACAACAGCAGTGCAGAGAGTAGGAAAACTTGACACAAACCCTATACCAACCCGTCTGGCCAGCGTGTTATAGTAGGCCAAAACCTCCTTTCTAATGAGAGGCTTATGGCCAGCAGTGGACTGTTAAAGGCTATTGGTGATGATGATTGATAATGCCATAAGGCGAAACCGGTCAGGTCAAATTAAATTCAGTAGTGGAACATAAGTAGGTACAAATGAGTTTGATTTCATAATATTCGTTTAACAAGTTCCACTAAGTGCCGAGAGCAATCGAAAGTATAAATTATTATTTTTTGTAGGTATTTCCTAAAGATTTTAGTTACGTTAGATGCTTTCGTTAGAAGAGAGTTTATCCAGTTGATACTTACTATAATCCCACACCTAAGATGACACTTAAGCCGCTTAGCTATCGCTTCTCAAGTTTATATAAAACTAGCTGACCCGCGCAACTTCGTCTGCGTCTCTCAATAGTAATAAATTTTCTCCGTTTTTGAAACATTCTTCATTGGTGCTCCGCTCCTATTGGTCTTAGCGGGGTGATATATAGCCTATTGCCTTCCTCGATAAATGGGCTATCTAACACTGAAAGAATTTTTCAAATCGGAAAAGTAGTTCCTGAGATTAGCGCGTTCAAACAAACAAACTCTTCAGCTTTATAATATTATAGTATAGATTTATTACAGGAAAAGCCTAGTTGTTCTAACGAGATAGGAACGGTAAGAGTGCCGCCACGTAACAATAAATTATTCACATTTCATTTGTAATGTTTTTTTCTGGAACTGGTAAATTATTGAACCGAAGATGTACAATAGATTTCTAGAAAATCAATACAACAAATTGACATTTGGCCGAAAGATGGCGTAAATTTAATCTCTAATGATGGACGTAACTTTAAGAATAAATGTTCCTTGTAGTGGGTAAATGTAATTTGTGACACCTATAACTCTCCGCTTTAAAGTCCACCCTCCCCCAGACTCAGGGGAGAGGGGAGGGACGGGGGGAGGTCGTCTACTCGTCTGTAGATGACCTGAGGTATGTCGGGGCACCAGGGACTTCCTTTCTAGGGTATACCTGGTTCCCCGGCTATTAGTACCCGAGACGGCGTGCGGTTTTAGTCGGTTCGAGTCCAACATGCCACCGACAGGTGGTATCCGAGGGGATTTCCGCAGGGAAAAAAAAAAAAAAAAAGGGGGAGAGGGGAGGGGGCTGGGTTTTTGGTAACCTGTCACTCAGTGAAATGCAACGATAAAGAGTTGTAACCGGCCCATTTGTGCCGAATCATGGATCTCACATTTTACCGATTAATGATTTGAATTTCATTTTTGAACCGATTTATATTATAAATATAAATCGGTTAAAAAAGGAAGGTATTGTT